GCAAATTTCTGGGGCCGGAGCTGGTCGTATCTCGAAAATTTCATAAGTAGGCAAGTTCGTAAGTAGAGGCAAATTTCTGGGGCCGGAGCTGGTCGTATCTCGAAAATTTCATAAGTAGGCAAGTTCGTAAGTAGAGGTAAATTTTTGGGGCCGGAGCTGGTCGTATCTCAAAAATTTCATAAGTAGGGGCATTCGTAAGTAGAGGTACCACTGTATTTTAATGTGTGTCCACTAGTTTAATGCTTTACTGTCTCTAAGGTTTTAGTGTTTGTGATTATTGTCTATAAATGGTATATACCATTCTCTGTACATGCTGAGGGAATTATGATTTTTTTTGGTATACAGCTCGGAACCTTGTGGCATCAAAGTGCTTCCAAACGAGAGCAACCCTCTGAACCGTTGCACAGTCTGTTCAGCAACCCTGCTTATCCTTGGTACCAGTCTGTGGGAGATTATTCTTACTCTTGATTTGAGCGGTCCTCTTGGATTATTTCACAACAGTGATTGTTTTCATTGTTTTAAATGAAAGTCTTACATCTTTTCTTATTTTTAATAAAGCCTAATTTACAATTCATGCTTCTTATGTTGTTCTGGCTTCCAAGAGAGGGGGAACAGCTTTTCCTCTGCACACACCTCAAGCTTGTGCTTTCTTACAGGACGCGGTGCTATAAACTTTAGGTTGTTTTCACTGTTCTTGTTTTTCTTGGATTTCTATCAGTCCCATATACCAGGGTAAGGGGGCAGGTGTCAGGTTAAGGCATTCCTTAACTAGATCCTGCATGTTGTGGCAGCCATAGAACTACCAAGCAGCTGGGCCATGGTAGAAAGGTAGTCCAGGGAATATAACACCTAGTTTATTACTGGGAAAATGAATTGAGACCCCCATGTTTTAGCTATGGGCACCACCCTGTCTGCCACCAATTAAAATACTGCATCTTGATAAATCCTACTAGGATTTATTAAGCAATTTGAGGGCATATTCAGAATTGGTTAGTATAGATTAATCAGTGTTAGATTAAATTCAGTTACGTGGAATATAGAAGACGTTCATTTCTTCCATTGATAAACCAAGGACTTTCAGTGGACTTTTAAGAAGGACAGTTACATTTCCTGTCTGATGTTAAAATCCTTCCTGATCATAGCTGCAATGTTGCTTTTGAATGGGGTTATTAAATTTACTTAATAAAAATGCATTGAATTTTTTCTAATTTCCTAGAATGTACTGGTATCATATAATATCATTTGTCTTTGAATTGCCTTGAAAACATGTATTTCAATATGATCTTTATTTCATTAAGTTTGGAGAGGGCTGTGCCTGAGAGAGTATTAAACTAGTCTACACTGGACTGAAGTAGTATAGAAATGTGATAAATAAATACTATAACTCTTCAGAATAATATAATATTGATATTAATGGTTATACAAACAAACAGATCTATCCTCCTATTCTCTTTCTGGGTAAGCAAGGTTATAGAAAGTTCATAAAAAGTGTAAGATGTTGTAGACAAATGTAACTAAAAAAAGGATATAAGAGATTAGAAAATGAGACCTTTTTATTCTTCCAAACCCTTTTTGTTCATTCAGAATATTTGTGCAGTTTTTTTCCCACAACCCGTCCCTCCTTAGGGGTGTTATCTAAATTAGGTGAAAACTAATTCTGACAATAATTTGTAAATCTTTCCAAATGAGAAATGTCAAAGTGGTTAATAATTAGGACATAGCTGTGCACCCTTCAACAACTCATACCCAATCAAAATGTTCAAACGATTTATCTGGAAAGGTGTTCAAAACAGTCTAAAGAGGAATAGCAATAACTCAGTGGACATGCCTACATTTACAAAGAAGAGCAAACATTTACTTACAAAAGGCCATCCGTAGGAAATGCTGGTGACACAAATCACACACCCCCAAACCACATCCCAGAACTGGAGAGCAAATCCTGTTGATGAAGAAGCGTGACTAGGATTGAAGAATGCAGATCATGATCACATAAGACTGACTAGGATTTAAGGCTTAAGGCAAAGTGGAGCACCTGAGAGCTTGGGAATCAGAGAAAATGATGCAAGAAACACTGAGATCACAGCACAAAACTTTTGGGTGGAGATGGGGGACAGAAAGTGACACAGTAAGATATTTTGGGAGTATTTCAAATAGCTCCAGGGCAAATGTTCTTTCTGCACAAATGTCTAATCTAAAATGGTAGGGATCTCGACTGCTAAACAAGACAAGTAAATCTTTCATATTGTAGTATTGCATATTGCAATAAATCTGTCATATTGCATTTTAAGGACTGCATGAGAGGAAAACAAAACATGAGAATGACTGAAAGAGGGGAAAAATTAAGTATTTCAAGAGGACAGTGGGAAAAGGATGGGTGAGGTCAGTGATGTCATCCTAGTGGCCTGCATAAAAGGCACTCTCTCTCTCTCTTTTTTTTTTACAAATTGCTGGGCTAATCCCTCCCCACTCAGTATTTTGTACAGTATTCTTTGAAGCACCCTTGGAGAAGAGAACTGTCTCCCTGCTTGTAAACAGCAGCAGAGCCATGCCACTGCGTTTGACCACAGGGGCACTTCACCCCGTCAAAAAGGTACAGTGTGTTTCATGCCATGTTGAGCTGGATTGCTCTTATCTGCAAATTCTTGACACTTAAGCATTCCAGGAAATATGTTTTTCTGGGGATGCTTCTCTGCTAATACTCATGCTAAATCTTCACTCTGAGTCTTCCTATATCTAAGTGCAAAAGGACACCAAGTGAATTAATTCCAGAATTGAAAGTAATGTCTTTCTGAATCCTTTGGCACACATAATCTTCTGCACCCTTTGTATCCTTTGTTTAGTAACTATTCTGAACTCAAGTCTTTACCTCCAGTTTAAGCAAGAAGGAACTCTGCATAAAAGGACTCCTTTGCTACATAAACCACAGAATCTGGTGGTGGGGACTGTGCCTTTTTGATGTGCAAACAAGTTCTTTCTCTACTATGAACCAGCAGAAAAGAAGAAACTTAGATTTTCCCTGCCTGAATAAGCAGATAACAGATGTTTTTGGCTAATCTTGGCTCTAATAGTGAGTAGATTTAGCTCCAAAGTTTGCCTATCAACACAAGTCTTTGTAGAGTTAGTGTCCAATATTGAGCACTGGCTCAGTCATAAACTAATAAATCCAATTCACACGTCGAGCAAACTAGGAAAAACCTTCAGTGTAGTCCAGTCTGGCAGGTAATGAATAAATTGCTACAAAAATTAAAGGACTGTGGGTGCATCAATGAGGGAGTTGTGCTAAGGCACTGAAGCTACCCAACAGGGCTCAAAATAACTCAGGATTTTATAAACCATTCCTCTGCCATTCTATCCCATTTTTTATCCCCAAGCTCCACCCACATTCCAAAGGAAGCCCCATTTACAGTTGCTATGTATAGAATCCTCCTCCCTTTTGTGAAGAAGGATTCTGTTTATAGCTTTATAAACTTGTTCCTGGGTTCTCATCAGATGCTGGAGGCTTCCTTTTCTGAAATGAAATGTCAGAAAGTGTATTTTGTATTTTAAGGGGTTCCTTTCTTTGCCAGATAATATGAGTATTCATCTTCCCTGGCTCTTGGTGATGTTCTTGAAGAACTTCCTGACTGAGACTGCCCCTCAGACTCCTCCTTGGGGCTTTATTTTTGCTTCTTATGAAGTAACCATCCCAAAGTCATTAACCCCCAAATCCAGACAACAGAACCCCCAGAATATCTCATACTTGTTTCACATTGAGGGGAGGAGTCTTGTGATACACCTTAGGCAGAAGAGAGGCTTAATCCCCAAGCATTTGCCTGTCTTCACCTACAGTAAGGATGGAGATCTCCAGCTAGATTATCCATTCATCAGGGATGACTGTTATTATGATGGTGTTGTACAGGGTGAACCCTTCTCTTTGGCCATCATCAGCACTTGCTCTGGAGGACTCAAGGGTCTACTGCGATTTGAAAAAAAGATTTATGAAATAGAGCCAGTTCTGGAATCTGCTACATTTCAACATGTGGTCTTTCGATTAGAAGAAAAGGTGGGTGCCATTCAAATGAAGTGTGGCCTAACACAGGAAGAGCAAAGACATCAAGAAGCCATGCTCCTAGATCTTGACAAAACAATGAACAAAATTACATCTAAAGGAGACTGGTGGTCACATGATAGGTATGCAGAGATTGCTATTGTGATTGATCATGAACGATTTTTGAAATTTGACAAAAATGAAACTCTCACTGCTATATATATTCTGGATATCTTCTACATTGCAAATGCAATGTATGATCCTCTTTCTGTTCATTTGTCTATAGCTGGACTAGAAATATGGTCACAAAGAAACCTTATACCAATTAGTAATGACATATTTAAAACACTTGAGGAATTCACTAACTGGAGAAGAGACTCATTACTTAATCGTTTACCGAATGATGCTGGTCACTTATTTATTTTTAAGAATTTTGGTCGTGCATTAGGATTGGCATACTTAGGGATGATTTGTGATGATAACAGGGGATCAGGTGTTGAATCATATGTTACTTCCAGTTTGTTCCATATTTCTAACACATTTGTCCATGAACTAGGACATAATCTTGGCATGCAACATGATTCGAAGTACTGTGTATGTGATCGACCGAAATGCATTATGGCCCCAGCACAAGGAGCAACTGATAGGTTTAGCAACTGCAGTTATAATGATTACTTCAGTCGAAGAAATTCTAACTGTTTGTTAATTCCGCCAGACCCTAATAAAATATTTAAAATCAAATTCTGTGGCAACAAAGTGGTAGACAATGGAGAGCAATGTGACTGTGGTACCAAAGCTGAATGTCAGCTGGATCCGTGTTGTCAATCTAATTGTAAATTACGTTTAGGGGCCACTTGTGCTTTTGGACAGTGTTGTATCAAGTGTCAGTATCAAGTAGCTGGAACGGTTTGCCGAAATAAAGCAAGCAGTTGTGATCTCCCTGAGTACTGCAATGGGCTTTCTGAGAGGTGTCCTGAAGATGCTTATGTGCAAGATGGTGCCCCGTGCAGTGATGGTGCGTACTGTTTTCGTGGGAATTGCAATACTCATGATATACAGTGCAAAACCATCTTTGGCAGAAAAGCAACAGTCGCTTCAGAAGTTTGCTTTAGAGAAATGAATATTCAAGGTGATCGGTTTGGCAACTGTGGCTTGGGACATGGAATTTATAACAAATGCATAGCTGAGAATATCCTGTGTGGCCGTATCCAGTGCGAAAATGTGGAAAGCTTGCCTTCTTTGGAGGATCACACCACCATAGTTCAGACTTCCATAGGCAATAAACAATGTTGGGGAACTGACTACCACAGTGGGATGAAGATCATCGATATCGGAGCAGTGAGAGATGGCACTCCTTGTGGCAATGGCATGATGTGTATTGACAGGAAATGTGTTAATGTGTCCCTCTTGGGATATGATTGTAATGTCGCAAAGTGCCACAATCGGGGAATATGCAACAATTTCAAACATTGTCACTGTGAGGAAGGCTGGGCTCCCCCAGACTGCCTAGAGAAAGGCAATGGTGGTAGTATTGACAGTGGCCCACCCCCTCTGTATGAACGCCAGAGATTTTATCGCAAAATGAATATTATCTTAGCGATTGTATTTCCTCTTTGCGCACTTGTTCTTTCTTGTGCTGGTTTCAAGAACCGAATTATATATAGGATTGGAAAGTTGGAGGAAAGATCTAGTCAACAGGAATGAACCCCCCCCCCCCCAAAAAGCTCACAGTAGACCAGAGAAATGAACCAGGGTTCATGTGTCAAATCTGTAACAAGATATTATGGATAATTTTGAGCAAAAGAGACTTGTGTCTAGGTGAATAAGCAGTGCTACCTACAGGGGTACCAAGAGGAGTCACGCTGATGTCCCCAGCATTGTAGAACTGCGATTCAAGCCCTGCCCCTTTTCTATGCACATTGTGAGGTGGTGTGCATGCCCCAAGGGGGCCAAGCTTGCGGTGGCACATTGCAATGTTGCTTTTGTCATTCTGATGAAAGCACCAACTTGCTGTGACTTGCCAAAGGCTACAACTTTATTCTCCTTTCAAAAGCCCATTCTTTGTGGAATGTTGTTGGGCTTTTTTTATCCTGCCTATCCTGTAGAATGCCTGATAATAGTTTTTGCTCCCAGTCTGGATCTGACTCTCAAAAGGACTGTTAAGAAAGCATTGGAAGTGAAATGCACATGACAATCAAGTGTAATGACTCGTGCATGCAGCTGATATGGGCAAGGACATGTGCTTATAAGGTTGCCTGGAAGAAGAATGCTATGGCCCCTTTCTTTTTGGCTCTGAAGCTCTGGGCCGGTGTTTCTCAACCTTAGCAACTTTAGCAACCATGCTGGCTGGGGAATTCTGGAAGTTGAAGTCTGCTCATCTTAAAGTTGCTAAGGTTGAAAAACACCACTCTAGACTTGTATAAGTTTGAAAAGTCCCTCCCTCTGTGTTCAGTCCAATGAGGTGAAGAAGACCTACCTTTGGTGTTCAAAATCCTTATTACTTTATGATGCAACTGCTGGATAAACGTGCAGGAAAGGCGAGGGGTGGGGTGGGATGGGGGAGACATTTTCTCTTGTGTTATCCTGGGAGTTCAGCAGCCTTGTTTCTGAGAGCACATGAATATGTCTAGGCATACTTCCTAATTCTGTCTCAAGAGGTAGGGCACTCTCTTCATGGCTTATGATGAAAAACCAATAGAGAACAACACTGAGCTCCATCATGAAGTAATCCATTTCAGTTCATTTCTCGAGCTTTCTCGAGCTTTCAGAAGGAGTCTTGCAATATAGTTCCTTGTGGTGAGTCAGTGATAAGTGACTGAAAGTGAGAATTGATGGGAGAACTGAGAGTTGCAGGGGGAGGGACTCTTGTTGTGTAGCTCCCAGAATTCCCAAAGATCTGAACTCTAGTCTCAATATGTTTTCCCAGCTTGGGGAAGACTAGCCTACATTCTTCTCAGTTGCATTTTCATCCTGGGATGGAGACACAGATGATTTCTCCTATTGAAGAGCATTCAGCTTCAGAGCACTTGAGACTTAGCTTAAATATTTTGGAGAAGCAGAATCCAAGGTATCACTTTATAAAAGTTATTTCTCGGGGACTTCAACTGATTGTGCTTTTGGTTACTTGTGTTTTAACCTATAGGTTTTGTCTCAAATTGATATGACAGATTAAAAGTTCTATTGTCAGATGGAGTCCAGGCAAAGGAATGGGAGCATAACAAGAATCCAGGTATTCTTAATGAATTAATTTAATCTCTACTTTGAAGCAAATTGATCTGAGCTGATATTCATCTTCCAGGTAAGGTAGAGATCAAAATATAGTTAAATGTTAGATTTTGCACTTCAAACATTAGCATAAGTTGCAACCCACATATCATTTAAACCAATGCCTCACATACCCTATGAATAATGGAATATGATATAATATGCTATGTACTAGTTCTCAGTATTCTAGGGAAGAATGATATATCGCCACGTTAGTCCCTCTCAGAGACATGTATTATAAAGGCGGCCAGTCTTTCCAATACCTGTTGTTGTTGTTTTTTGTTTTTGTTTTAAAGATGCAGAAATTTTTGAGGTAATGACCACTGTACCTTGTAACAGTATAAGTTATGTATTTAAGGGCAAATCATTATCTATGAATTGTAATAGAAAATCTTCACCTAAATAAATATTTGCTGTTGCCTTCTGGTACAAGTCTGTTCTGTGTTTTAATATCTGGTTTCTCTGTTTCTTTCTTAAGAACAATAAGTAGCTTGCACAGATTAAGGGTTTTTTTTTTCAGTTTCTAATGTATTTCTTTGTACTTGATATTTTTGTTTTCGTTGTATTAGAACAGGATTGGAACGGAAGTAAACGTTAACATCCATTCTGTTGTCTGTAGAACCAGTTCAGCCTTAGAGTTGTATTGTCTCAGTCCTGCTGGAGAAGTCCAGAGAAAGCTGACAAATAATATCATAAACAAACAAACACTAACATCATGGTTTTGGGAACCTATAACAGAACTCCTTAAATGATTACCTTTATGCACAGAATGCTGTAAGAGACACGACTCCCACTAGAACTGCCAGGAATTCACCTCATCATTCTTAAAAAACACAGGGGGATAATTGGCTGAGGCCCAGTACTTTCTTTAGAAATGTGTCCACCAGGCTAGAAAAATGACAAAGGTAAGCTAGGAACAGTAGAGAGTATTCTGGGTTGGGGGATAGAGGAGAACACGCCAAACTGATAGTTTGTAATTGGCTGTTTTCAACCTAATAGTCATTTTATTAATGATCAACTTCACTTTAGCAGCCATTTGTGGAAGAGTCAAAATGTTATCTAAATTCTGACATATAGCCTACATATTACTTAGAGCATTCTTTTAATACATTATTTATTATGTACAGCTTTTCTTTCTCTTCTAATCAATTTCAGTTGTGCCAGCCAAATTTTTTTACAGTTCAATAGGGGTGTGTTTTGACTAGAAATTGGATATGAGGGGAAAGAAGTGATTTTTTCAGTTTGCAAGTCAGTAACTTCATAGCTTTCCCAACTGATGATGTTGGCTGAAAAATATGCTGTATGTTTCTGAACTATTCCTTCTACAGAGACATGTATCTATATGACTGCACAGAGATTATGAAGAAGAATTTCATAATGCTGGGATGAACAAGCTATAGGAAAAAGATAGCTAACTACAGAATAAATAACATTTATATTGTAAAATAAAATATTTACACCTACTTTCCCCCAGTCCTTATAGCTACTATGGCTGGTGTGGGTCTTCCGGGCTGTGTGGCCGTGTTCTTGAAGTTTTGTTTCCTAACGTGCACAGAGAGAACTGCTCCTGTCTGTGCTCCTGCACTCTGAAGATGCCGGTCACAGGTGCTG